GTTTATGTGGTACTCGTTTTAACTCGTTTCAAAAAAGTTTTAATTAGCAACAGAATTTGATTGGATGAATGGATTTTCAATCAGGGAATCAAACGAAAGAAATTTGGACAACAAAAAATTTCAATAATTATTTGTTATGAAATCGAAAAAAAGATTTGAATGAATGATCTCGCGTGCGGTTTGTTATGGCATATTTTAATTTAATTTTTTTTTTTTTTACAAAGGGCCTTTTTCGTATAACACCGTGGTAGGGGGGAGGGGGGGGAAAAGTCGGCGAAATTTGTAGTCCAGACAATGCGGAGTTTCCATGGTAACGACAAATTTCTATAGCAACCGCCCATAGTAAAATAATTCAATGGTTATTATTAATTTTAAAAAATCGATATTTGTTCTCCCGCCATTTTTTTTTTTTTTTTATTGGTTAACACACCTAATTTCGATTTGATTATTAATTATACATATATATATATATATGTATGCATTAACGTGACAGTTGAAAATCTCTATTCTTATCAAAGTATTCCCCCCCAAAAAAATTATTATTATTATTATTATTTAATAGATGAAATTTATCGATCTGAAATAAAAACTTTAAATTCATTTATATATGAATTACGTTAAAGCCCATTTAAATTATTTTCATTTGGATATTTGGGGCATAAACAATTGCACGTTAATTTAAATTTAAAACAAATTTGTTTGTCAAAAAGATATAAAATTTTACTCGATCAATATCAATCAATGTATTGATTGAATATTAAAACATTCGACCATTTTGTATCGATGACAAAATATTTTTCGGGTATTTAATGCAGTGGGAAAATTGTGGTCACTCATTTCGAAAATGGAGGTAATTCTTTCAGTGGGTATATATATATATATATATGAAACTATCAATAAGTAACTATCATTATAGTAAAAACTGAACTATTGTTGTTTTCTGATTGGGGGGGAGGGGGGGAAAAAAGGAAAATGTTTTTAATACCTGTTATTCCACTAGTGCCAGGTAAATTGCTACCATCTGGATAAAAAATCTCTTGATTGTATAATTCGTCATCCTCATCATCGTCTTCTTCACCTTGTTCCAAACACGATGTATCATAATCATAATCGTCTATTTCGATGGTTTCTTCTTTAATAACCTAACAAATGATAACATTTAATAAAATCGAATTTTTTTTTTAAATTTAAGGGTTTAGGATATTGAAAAGAATTTTACCCTATATTCATCATCTATTGTCTTATGGAAATTTTCAGGCAACACGCTCTCATCTTCCTCCTCCTTATAAGATGTTATCTGAACGTATTTGTCTTCGTTTTGTGTTTTTTTTAATTTTTTCCCAGTCACTTCATCATCTTCTTCGGTATCACTTTTACTCAGTTTATGATGATTATATTCACTAAAACTATCTTCTTGTACATTGTCACTTTGTTCGAAATTAACAAATTGTTTAGTACCTGAAAGTCCCCTGATTTGAAGGCTCTCTGCAGATTTTAACAAGCTGTCTAATTGATTTTGTGACACATTCACTTCACCTTTGTACATGAATTCGACTAAAGCCTTGATTTCCCAAAATTCGACATCTTTCATGAATATAATTGGATGTTGACAGGGATTATTAATTAGTAATTTTTCAAAATAAACACTACAGGCAGATAAAACGATTTTGTGGCACTTGATAAACTGTTTTTCACATGCCAATGTTACATCGACAAAATGTTCACTAGTCAATAATTTGGGAAATGCAGTTTGTAAATTGGATTTGTAAGAGTTCCATCGAACACAAAAACGTTGAGGAACATCCATTTTTTCTTTTTAAATTCAATAATTGTTTTTTTAAATGTATATATATATATATATATATTTTTTTTTTGTAAAGGCTATGCTAAAAAAAATTAGATAATCTAAGATATTTGGAAACTTTTAAAAAAAATTGAATATGAAATGCTTTGAATATTTAAAAAAATAAAAAACTTTCTAAATGAAAATAAGATTTTTTTAAGGAAAACCTCTTTTTAATCACAAAACAAGAAAATAAAAAAAAAAAAAAATTTTTTTTAACTTGTAAATTAGTATAAACAAAAATAGTAAAAAAATGAAATTTTGTCCGTTATTTTTAAATCACGTTTAACCTGAATAAAACATGGAATACGAAATTTATTTGGCAAATTTTATTGAAAAAATAAAAGTAAACTTTTAACTTACAACTATTTTGTACTGTTATAAGTCACAAGTTGTAATTAAAAAACAATTAAATGATGTTATTTTTTTGCAACCAAAAGTTATGAAGACTCTTCCATAACTGCTTAATATTATCATAGTTTGATTAGACTTCGTTTTTTAGTATATAAATGGGGCCCTAACTAGTAAATCTAGTGACACGATTTTTAATTTTATGGATCTTTTCCTCTATGGACTAATGAAGGAGTACTTGTAACTGATCAAGTATTGTTTTTGAATATAGAGTTCATGTAAAATCTCAAAGTTGACGTAAAATGTGAGTTGTCCTTTTCTAAATACAGATTCGGTTGTTTCATTTTAAAAGCGTTATTTTATCGGATGGGAAATACTTTCATAGATAATCGAAGCTTTAAATTGCAAGTTGCGTTTAGTTTTGTCAACATGGCAATTGTTCTTTTTTTTCCAATTAGAATATTTTCAAAAATGTTACTCTAATAATTTCGGTTTAATTAATTCGGTGGAATTTAATAACTATTTTAATATATCCGTGATTTGTTTTTTTTCCCCGCTTAAATCTAGTTTGTATTGATTTGATGCATACGTCCGTATGTTTTGAGGTTGGAATTTAAATATATTAGTTTTTTTTTTTTTGTGTAATTTTCAGATGGTGCCGAACACGGTTAATTCTAAAATTAAAAAGGCGGGTAATGCCGACCCTGATGCTTTCGAAGCATCCATAGCCCAAGCTTTGTATGAATTAGAAATGAATAGTGATTTAAAGGCTCAACTTAGAGAGCTACACATCACTAAGGCAAGAGAGATTGAACTTCATAATAAGAAAGTAAGTGTTTGACAACTCGACTACCACCAATGACTTGTTTAACCCTGATTTATTTTTTTTTTTTAACAATAATTTAATTTTTTTTTGTTATTTTTAGTCTATTATTATCTATGTACCAATGCCTCAATTAAAGCAGTTTCAAAAAATTCAAACTAGATTGGTTCGTGAGCTCGAAAAGAAATTTAGTGGGAAACATGTTGTTTTTATTGGTGACAGGAAAATTTTGCCAAAACCCACGAGGAAGACGAGAACTAATTCTAAACAGAAAAGACCAAGAAGGTAAAAAAATAATTTAAATTAGTTCGAAACAGACTCATTTTTTACAACTTTCATTAAGTAACATTACAGGAATTGAAATTCATGTTGATTATGTCATAACTCATTGAAAGTATTGAAATTGTTTTCGAATTTGTCGAATTTATCATGAATAATTTTGTTGTTAAACCAAGTCTTTAATTTATTGAGTTTTAAAATAATTTTATAAAACTTGAGAATTTATCGTTAGTTATATTTTTCAATATTAAATTTATTTCGAAAAATGTAATATCTTATTACATAAATGATTTAATTTAAATATAATGAAATGACTTTATAATTAATAACTATTTGAATTAAGAAGAAATTTGTTTTTTTTTTTTTTTCTTCCAGTCGTACATTAACATCGGTTTATGATTGTATTCTCGAAGACTTAGTGTATCCAGCTGAAATAGTTGGAAAAAGGATACGAGTTAGAGTAGATGGATCCCAGTTGACAAAAGTACATTTGGATAAATTGCAGCAAACTAATATTGAACATAAGGTAATTATTGTAATAAAACTCAAGGGGATGATGATAATAATTTGTATATATTAATACCAAAAGATTTTTTTTTGTCTTTTTTTAATTTAATATTTATTTATTTATTTATTTTCAGATTGATACCTTTGCTTCAATTTATAAAAAGTTAACTGGAAGGGAAGTGACATTTGAATTCCCAGAGCCTTACCTATGAACAATTTAAGGCTTTTTTATCGTTATTTTAAAAAAATAAAAACTCGAAAAATAAAAAATTAAAACTTTTCTAGTTATTTGTTCATTTTTTTTTTTTATCCTTGATGATTTTTAATCCTATAACAATATTTAAATAAAATGCAAAAAGATTTCATAGTTGGATTTTATTATTTAGTAACGGTTGAAAGTTAACGTTTAATAACGTCTCGAAATCGAAGAAGGTTTAAATTTTTTTTTTTTTTTAACTTTAAGTATTTCGAAGTTTTAATAATAGTAATTAATATTAGTTAGTTTTAATAATAAATTTTTTTTTTCTTTCCTTTTATAAAGTTTGAAGTTATGCCGTTTCGTGAGTTAATTTTTTAAACATTTAATTGAAAAACGGAATTTTTTTTTTTTTTAATAATTTTAAAACGTTATTATATTTAAAAATTTTACACGAATCATTTTAAAAATTATCAATTTTTAATAATTAATAAACTAAAGAATAAATGCAAAATAAAAAAAACATGAAAGGCAAGTAATCTATTAAGTTAAATATAAAAAGTTATTTTAGTAATTTAACAACTTATTTTTTTTAAATCGTTGCCAACAAAATGGCGGCTTAGTAAACGTTAGTGAATTTAGTTGAGTAATACATAGTAAAATTTTTTCATTTTTATGACATAAGTTTTGGTATAAATAAGAAATAACATCATCATTCATTTATTGCAAAGTGATAAATATTTTTACAAGAAAACAGCAAGTTTTATATATACTTAAAGTAAAAAAAAAAATTAATAAAATTTCCTGAGTATCATAAATAACAATGACGGAAATAAATCAAGAGGTATCAGAAGTCAAAAAAGCTCGTCACGATTGGTATCAAAATGAAAGTCAAATAGTTTTAAGTATATTATCAAAAAATATTAATGAAAAAGATTTTTTTATTAATTTCACGCCTGAAACAGTAAGTTTTTACTTTTTATTTTCACATACTAAAAGAAAAAAATATTTATTAATCTAACCTTCATTAAATTTACAATTAATTTGAAAATGATACATTTTTTCAAAATCTTATCTAATTTTTTAATTATCATTATATTCCTTTTAATAATTTTTTATATTTTTAATTGAAATATCAAGAATTTTAATCTTTTTTTGTAATGTTGCACCACAAAGGATAATTAGAAACAAGGAACATAATCAAAAGAATGAAAATATCCCAAATATTCTATTTTTAATTTATTTAATGTGTAAAAGTATAACAACACATGATTTAAAAAAAAAATGTTTTTTGTTTTAGTTAAATGTATCGTTCAATAATGAAAATGGTATAAAACATAATTTAAACTTTAATTTACTTTACGAGATCAACCCATCTGAATGTTTATACAAAATATCACCTTCTAAAGTTGAAATAAAACTTAAAAAAAAGGAAGGATTCTGGTGGAAAACATTAGAAAAAGATTTAACAACTTGTACAGAAACAAATAAGCAGAGTAAAGTATCATGTATTTATATTTTGCATAAATTATAAAAGAATAAGATTTTTTTTTTAAAAAAATTATTTTTCGAAATGACATAATATTATTTTTATAGCTATGTCAAAAGTATATCCTAGCTCATCAGTTAAACCAAAAGACTGGGACAAAATTGTAGGTGATATTTATAAAGAAGATGACAAATTAGAAGCTGATGATGCACTAAATGCAATTTTTCAAAAAATTTACGCAGAAGGAAGTGATGAAGTGAAAAAAGCCATGAATAAATCATTTGTAAGTTTTTATTTTAATTTTTTTATAAATTCAACATCATTATTTACAATTATAATAATAATAATAATAAGAAAAAATAGTTTAAAATAATAATAATACTAATAATGTATGAAACCATTATTTAGGTGAATCG